TTCAGTGATAGCCATCTGTTCTAGGTTTGTGGTCTTGGAATGGGTGTCATGGCAGCCTTATTGCTAACTATGAATGTATTCGCAGAATTTGCAGGACCTGGTACGATTGGCCTACCTAAAGCAATGCGTGTAAGAAACATATTATGATGCAAAATAGCATCAAGACTACCTAGCGATAAACTTTACTAGTTTTGTGATATCTAAATGTGAGTGCTCTCTTAAGGAAGGGCGTCGCGACGTACATTTTGCCGGGACATACTTGCCTCTGTATTATGCATTGTCTGGATGCTTCACCACTATGTTCAATGTTACATGGACCATCATGGTAAGAGAATAACTGGAAATAGCATTTTATCAATGTTTTAGTTCCTTTTTTGCAGATCTGGGATTCCTGTCATAAAGTTAACAAAGCACCGTTTTGGGCTCTACCCGGAATTGCTGCTACTACTTCTCATGCCGCTGTCAGCGCTTTGGTGGGTTTTGATATTCCCCCTTCTCCTAAAGTAACTTTTCAGAACTACATTTCGCGGCCATCCTCTTTTTCATTACTTTCAATTTACTATTAGCTGTCTTTTTTTCGACATATTCTAATTTTTAGCACTGTGTAAGATTTCCTCTGTTCACAAATTGAAATAAGAGTACGAGCTGTTAGAAGAAGTAAAGGCTGTCCCATGATTTCGAGGCGTTATACTAATAGTTCCTATTTAGAACATGGTGCTGTATGTTTTCATATTGTAGCGAACTTGATTTATTCAGAGTTGGTATAATTCTGCTGGATACCAACCAGTCGTGCTCATAGTTCAAGCTTGTCTTTTGTTCGTATGCACACTTTACTGCAATAACATCACAGGCTCGACGCTAAAGTCGATGTTAATTGGTGAGTTCGATGAACACTTCGTGATTTCGCTTTGCTGATAGCATGCATATTTGTTTTGGAGTCGTGGTGAAGGTATGCTCAGGTACAATCTATACTTTGCTTAACTCCCACTATATGCATCGTAGGGAAATCATCTTAATTACATACGTCACGACTTAGATTATCTCAGGAATTCGCTCTGCGTTGGTTGACTGGTTCACTTTGAAATGGCTGAGAAGTAAGCTAATAAAAAAGGACGAAACACCATTATCCGGTGCTGAAGAAATGGAAGCAGAAGAAAGAAGAGATGTTGATGCTTGATTTTCTCTAGTCAGCTTTGAATTCTAGTGATTTACGTATAGAGGAGAAAATCTTACTTTTAATCCTTATT